AAAGTTGAATGAACAAGGCGTCACCATGTCAGGATCCAGAGACCGTAGGTACTCTAATAAACAATTCTTGTTTCCTCTGCCATTTTCCATTTCTGTAATTTCCTGCTCCCATGACTTCAGTTCCTGAACACAACACCAGATCATTTCAGAAGGGGACTCATTCTCCAAAGCAAAGAGCAGACAGTTAAACCAATGTTGTCAACTAGTATTCAGGTTATTGCAAGTTTTTTAATCTGAGTTCTTGTCTATAACGGGAAAGGAAGAAGAAGATAATTCTTGCACTAAGCAGTATTCAAGGATGGCAGGCTTGCCTAACTAACTGCCACGCCAGAAAAGTTGGCTTCTTTTGATCGGAGAACATGTATCCCTAAGGGATCTTGAATTATGACTCAGAATGTCGTGGAATTTTATCGATAGGAAAGGCATCAAGAAATAGAAGAATAGAGAATTCACATTTCACTTAACACCCCCGGGGCTTCATAGAACTAATTCTATTAATGGATACATTACTACCAAGAATCATCACCCATCCAAGAGCGCATACTTTAGTTAGGAGACTTCACATCGTAAATCCACAAAACTATATCCACCATTTTGAATGAGTAACACAAGTATTAGATAATAAAGAAGCAAAATTTCTCCAACTGACTAGCAAGGCTTTCCAGATATCACCATTCAAACCACAGTGCCGCCTACTGACTTCACACTGGAGTAAGCCTTATAGTCTTTCTTGAATTATGTGATGTTTGCATACAAAAGGAAGTACATGACTACACAAATTACCATTGCACAACTGTCAAATTGTTCTTGGTTGTTATTGCATCAAACTCATGACTAGAACCAATCCAACAATATGTCAGCGCCAATCACAAACAGCATACAACAGCTATAAATCTAAAGGTAAAGCCTTTCCTCTAGTCATATGCATAATTCTCCAACTAACAAGTTCAACACCATGGAAATTCTACAATTAGACTTTACAGTGCCACAGAAATCCAAAACCATTAATTCAGGAAAATGAATCGCTTTAGAGAACAGAAAGATCACCTCTTTCACGTCAGATAACTCAGATTCCAAGCGTTGAATGTAATTCAATGCCTCCTGCGGCAAATCCCCCAAAACCTGAGGACTGATTTCCACATCCTGAGCTCCAACTTCACCAACTCGTCCCTTGTTAACATCGGTTTCCTCCTTCGTCTCCAATTGCGATTCACCGGAATCCGATCTCCTCCAATTCTCCATTGAAATCTCCAAATTCCTCGTCAGAGACATCCTGTACTCCGCGTTCCACAGCGTGTACCTACATCCAAATCCACCCCGCGATCAGAACACCGAACAACACAGCAGGAATTGAACTCTTGAGAGATTGATTTAAGAAAAACTTACCCTGTAATGATGGCGGATATCAGGAGGCTGTCGAGAGGCAGCTTGGCGAATCGAATCGTGACGGAGAAATCGGCGGAAGGGAGGAGTCCCAACATGGTGGAGATGGTCTGCTTCATCGAATCCTTGGACGAATCCGAAACTCCCTTGGAGATGGTGGAGTTATCGAGGGGCTCGATCCTCTTGAGCATGTTGGCGATTACGGAGAATCCCCGGTCCAGGCTGGACTTCCGAGTGGAGACGAATTCGTCGGAGATCCCGCCGCCGCTGCTCAGGCAGCTCACCGTCGTCGTCGTCGTTACCGCAGCGGCCCAGGCCGCGTGATGATGATGGGAATTCGAATTGAAATTGTTGTTGTTGTGGCGACGGAGGAAGAATGGAGCGAGGGACGTGGAGGAAGGAAGGGACGGTGGTGGGTGGTGTTTGGGCGACAGGTCGCGAGAAAGAAGGAAAGCTCGAGCTGCGGTGGCGGCCATGAGAGGAGGACTGGGGTGCCTCCACCGCCGAGAAAGCTTGTCGCAGCCCGGGAGAGAGAGTGAGAGGAGGGTCAGCGGCTGGCTCAGAGGAGAGAGCCTGGGCGGCTTATCTCTTCTCCGTCGGCTTCTTCTGATCTCTGATTTGGGAAAGAATCTTGTGTGTCTCTACTACGGAATCGCCAATGTGTAATTGTGTTTTCATTATTCAACGGAGTTGGTCCGAGTAGGCATCGCCATCAAACCCGGGCTCCACTCTCCACCTGGTCCACTCGGTCTAACATGGGTGGTTTGATTGTCGAATTTAGCATTATAGAGATCAAGAAATATATTTACTTTACTTTATGATCAATGATTTATTGTTTCATGTAATTGCCTACGGCTAGAGATGAGTTGCTCGTTTGTGACAAATGCTATGATAATAGTACGAACATAGAGCACTTCTATTATGCTATATAGTATTGGTGTTTTAATGTACAAATTAAAGTTGTACTATAGCATTAAATGTATAAGTTTAGGTTGTATCATAAAACAATTTGTACTATAACATTATGGTACAACTTTACAACTTGAAGTTGTACCATCACATAAAGATACAAGTTCAAGTTGTACCGTAAAAGAATTTGTACAAAAAGTATATGTACAATTTTAAGTTGTACTATAACGTAAATGTACAATTTTAAGTTATACCATAAAAGTAAAACCCTATAACACCAATACTATATAGCATTGTAAAATTTCTAAGAACATATGGGACTTATGGAATTTTAGGTAATAGATTTTATATGCCATGGGGACAGGAGTGAGTTTTGGACATTCAACCATTTAGATGAAATTTTTGTAAATATCAAATTAAATGAAAATTGTAAGAAACCATATGGAACTCCACAATTATATTTTGGGTAATGTGTATTTTTTATTCAAAATTTTTTCAAATTTTTTCATATTATTCAAACCTATTAAAATGCTATTAAATTTTCAAATCTTTTGTAATGAATCAAAATATTAGTCATTTTTACGTTATCGTTAATAATTTTTTAACTCTTTTCTTAACTAAAATACTAAAATTTTGGAATGTTGACTTTAATGTGTCTCTTCCAAGTCAGTATCATGTTGTCAACTCAATATTACTAACAAAATTATTAACTGGAAATTAACATTTGTCTAATTCTTAATATTTTAATAGGTTTGGCTAATAAAAAAGAATAAAAAAGATATGTACTTCATCTCTTATACTGCCAACATTGATTTCATCGTCAAAACAAATGGGTTACAAACTCAATTGCTATCTTATGCATCTAGTAACTTGGTTTAGTTATGCAAGTTTAATTTGAAGCAAAATGTTTGGTGATTTTGTAGGTGGAATAGTGCAGCATTTCATTTGAATATAACAAATTAGGTGGAATAGTGTAGCATTCCATTAGAATAATAGAATGTAACACATTATGTTCGTAAGTGAACAAAACGTGTGGATATTAGTCAACAATTGTTTATCAATTAGTAAGCAGAGAGCTATTTGGGTAGGTTTCTTGGTTATGGCATGTAAGAAAACAAAAGTAGGTACTTTTTTAATTCTAAACAAATAATATTATAGTAGTCTCCCATATTGTCATGGCTAAAACTTTATTTCAATTATCTCAATTTGTCAAAAATGTTAGATGCTAGAAAGACAAGTTTGAGTACAACTTTGAGTGAGGAAACCAGCATTAACCCAAATACAATAAAATGAGTGATGGAACCAGCACTAACCCAAAGCAATTTAAAGTAAACTAGCTCAGCCGACTCATTCACCCTCCACTCTATGTGTAAGACAAAGACCAATGTGTTGATTTCTTGGTGAGCTCCATTGGAGGCCAAATGCATTGCATCACAATAAGATTAGGTCATTCTTCCCCGTCTTTACAGCCTGTTTGGATAGACAAAAAACTCAGGAATTGGAATTCCATTTTCAATTCCAGTTCCATATTTTATGTTTGGAAGGATAAGAAGGTTGAGAAATGAATTCCATTTGGGCTAAGTTTTGGGAATTACAATTCCTATCAAAAGTAATAGGAATTGTGTTTATGAAGATGGAATTAGTGGGTCCCATCACTATTTATTATTATTTTATTAACCAACTATCACACTACTCTCTTTCTCTATCATTCATATTTCATTTCCCAAGATAAAATAAATATATTATATTATTAATTATTGTTAAAAGTGCAATTCATTTCTTTAGTTGGAGGAATTATACCAAACACTAATATTGGAAATGGAATTCTATAAAAATAGGAATTGGAAATAGAATTCCATTTCCATTTCTTCTTAAATTGTATCCAAACAGGCTGTTAATAGTTTCATAATGATAGCCACATGAATGAACCTGAAAAGTGGTGCTGAGAGACTTAGCAGCAAAACCATTAGTTTTACCCAAAACAATTGCAAGGTCTGCCCGTCCATAGAAGCCTATAAGGTCAAATACTAATTTAAATTTAAAGAGAAGGTCAAATATTTGACTCTTATCTTTCATCTATATCCTCACAAATAAATTAGATAGTCATCCTAATATGCTAATAATCGTTATGGTGACAAGTTTTTTTACTATTATATAGCGCATTATATAATTTACAATTGTTGAATGCACACAATAATGACAATTATTTACAAAATCGTGATAGTGTGCATCCACCAACTATAAGAAACAGGAAACAGACTGTGCAAAGGATTGTGAATCATGATATGACGTCCCAACTCTAATGAATCGCTAGAACCCTAGCCTGATTGCTCCATAAAGGTCCTTCATTCATAACTAGCTTTGGGCCCGCCCGATGGGCGGATAAATTTGTTACTTGAACTCGTTGCTATGATTCGATTTCGTAGTAAGCACACTAATTTTTTCTTGGTTGTATAAATCGAGGCTTTCCTGATTTATTAGAATTTTTAAGGTAAAAGAAAAATCGTTCTGTTTGGTTTCTGAAAAGAATAAGAAACCCAAATGGCAATGAATAGCTTCAAAATCAATGATTTTCACTTCTGCGTGGACAAATAGAAGAGGCAATGAATAGCTTCAAACAATTACATCAACTATAAAACTTAATTACCTGGATTTGCATGCATGGACAAATAGAAGAGGCAAGGTTGGGTTATCAATGGAAGCAGTAACAAATCAATATGCATGCAGAATCAAAGCCTAGGAATTAATAGCAAGAAAATAAAACAATGTAGCAGAATAAAAAGCAACTTAATTGGGTACGATTCAAGGATGTGATTCATACCTGTGGCTGAAGCTTGTGAGGCATAATTAGATGCCGTGATTGGCTGGCTTCGCCAGATGTACACAACTTCCTATTGGTGGCAAAATTTGTCGGAGCAATCTCTACCAAACGTGGCTTGAGGATGACACGGTTGATGCATGTGGGATTTGGAGCTAGATGGTTGCTGCTTCTCTCCATTCAGAAAGGGCGATCCTGTAGGTAGTTTATTCCAAGTTTGCGAAGGCTTTGTGTATCGGTGGCGTATGAAGCGTTGCGCCGGAGATGGTTTCAGATTTTGGCGCTGCGGTAGAGATGAAAGTCTTGTGGATTTTGAAAGGAACCGTTCGGCGGTTTTAAGAGAAGATGTTGAATGAAGCAGTGGGATTTTCCCCCGAAGAGAGGTTGTGGAAAGAGAATGAAAGAGGTTTTATAAGGCTGACGTGGATAGCCTAATATTTGAGATAGGGGTACGTGGAGGGGGTCTAAAACTAAAAGCCCTTTAATATTTTTTTTAAGATTTTCGGAGTGAAATTGAAATGATTTGAGTGCTCTTCTACACAGAAGAAGGAAAAGAGAAATGGACCTATCACCGCTGGCCCAAATCTTGGCTTCAACCAATCTATAGAGTGGGCCTGCCTAACAGCAAGTGGTAATCCTGGCATCTTTTGGTTTATGCATAATGTTATTCAGCTTTAGAAGAATAATAACAAAAGATAGATGAATCTCTCAACATTGAAGAAGAATTAAAGATTCATACAAGGGCCTCCTACGAATAACTTAAAAACTATTGAAGTGAACAAATCAGTTGACTTTTACTTGCATTTCATTCTAACAAGTTGAACGTTAAAACATGAAAAGAACTGCATCATCAGAAGTATTTCTGTTAGAAACTGTGGTTGAAGTGAGTGCTATTTCTGTTGGTGCAGAGCATCAAGTTAATGCAATCCAAAGAAAGAGCAATATATTCAAAATACGTTCTACTGCTGACCAGGAAACTTGACATGGTGAATCTCTATTGAGTTCAGTTGTGAATCTACGGGAAGGCTTCTGTCATGAGTCTCCTTGGGTCTTTTCTCTTCTTGAAGCTCCAGCATACCATGATTTCCACGCCTCTACGTAATGACCAAATAGCTCGCCTAAAGCTGCCACCCAATTGAAATGCTCCACATTAGTTACTGTAGAAGTTCAACTGCAGCATAGAAAAATAAGTGTTTAACCAGTAGGCTCTACCTTCATTGCAGTACTGAGGATAACAAGTAGAAGCTAGAGTCTCCACGTCCTGGATCTTTGTCATACTTGTGTTTCCTGTGCAGCTTACACCTTTGTCAGTAACTGCTGGACTGAATGGACCAAAGACAAAGCTCTTAGATTTGCCTTCCTCTGTCTTTGGCTTCAGGTTGCTTCCATGAATTTTGTTTTGCGAATCCTGCGATATTTTAAGGACTGGAGCAATAACATGGTTCTGGTCGATACAGCCCAGCCGGTTTTTCTTTGATGAGAAGTTAGTAATCTCAGTGCCAAAAGTTCTCTTGGTGGCCTGGAATTTCACAGGGTCGAGAGCTACATTGTTTCCCCTCCATCCCACCCACCTAAAGGCAGGTCGCCTGCTTTCAGGGTGATGAGTCTGCAAAATGAAGACAACATTATCGTTCGTTTACATGCCTAAGCTGAATTACTGTTCTGTGTTACCCATGGTATGTAGGTTAAAATATACCTTTTCTATAAGGTTCATGGAAGCCAAAACATTGGCAATGTCATAGAGTCGTCTTACTTTTGCTGTATAATGACCGTTAAAAAGAAGAAAGAGTGAGTAACATGGTTCAGTACTAGTTGGCTTCATTGTAATGGAAGGTGAGGATTCGATCTTTACTTCTCATAGCTGTAGAACTTAGGGCATCACCCAGCAAAGTTGTTGCAGCAGTATCAAGTGTGATTAAATCTACCTAAAAGAGAATGAATGAGTGAAGGCTCCAACAAGTGAAAGAGGAAGTCATATTTCAAGCCAATTTGGGAAGAACTTCACTTACATCAGAACAAAGGAAAAGCTTCACGAAATTCTGTGTGAGAAGCCATAATGATTTTTCTCTTTTGTTATCTGCATAAAAAAACACATGTAAAATTTGCTGTGCACTTTAGACTAGACAGCATTTGGCTGTTCATACAAGCCTCAGGTTTAAGCTAAATTTTAGAACTTTATAGATCACCCATGTCGATTGAGGTGAGTTGTTGACAAACTCAAACAAAGGGTCACTAACCATTACCAGCAGAAACTGATGCTGCTGAATTGTTTTCTTGACCATCAGTTGGTACATTGGAAGATGGTCCAACTTCATTCTCTTTTAGAGCCTATAACGAAGAATGGAAGAAAGGGTCAAAACTTGGACTAACGTGGCTGCTATTCTGAACAAACTCGGTGCCAATGCTGCAATCGTCAAGTATGAGCCTAGGCTTTGTTACTTTCACTTATCAACCATGAATCTAGGCCAATGAAGTAACAGTGACCACAATTACTACAACATGTTGAAACAAGACTTGGAACTAAAGAAGCTGATAAACTATTGCTTTATAATGGCAACACAACCAAGTGGCAAGTGGTATGTGTGTGCTTTATCATCTGCTTAAGACAATCCACACAACTACCAATCAACATAGTTGGAGAATCAAGAAAGGACATACCTTTGCTGAGTTCAGACAAGACGCAGCACTGAAATTCTCCATCAATGCCTCTTGCTGAAACAATGAGATATTAAGGAATCATATTGCAGCTCAAAACAAACAGGACAAAGGATATGGAAGAGAAACATTCAAGCCATGGACACAGCTTAAATATTGAGAACCAACCTTGAGGCACTCCAAAGCATGCGGAATTGCCGCAAAACCTCTCCATGAGTACTGATTCTTCTGTTTTCTTGCTACCACCTACAGAAAAAGGCACGACAAAATTCCTCACTATCAAGCTCAATGAGATACCCAAAATAAAAAAAAATCAACTTAAGAATCTTACGCCAACGCTCTCCAATATGTTAACAACATCGTAAATTCGCCGGCGCTCAACTCCTGCAAACGCCAACGATTCCCAACGGAAACTCGTCAATATGCTTAACGATAAACAAAACACATTTCCCTTAGACACCTCTTGTTCCATGTTGAAAACCAATTGTTTTTTCCCCCCAGGAACCAAACAAACGGGGAGAGCAAGATATACGTAGAGAATGAATACCTAATTTTGAAGAGGCATCGTCTAGTCCAATTGAGTCGACCCCTTGAGTACCATACAAGTTCAAGAAGCTACAAACGACAGAAAACAGCAGAAAATTAAGAAAGCGGACTGGAAATGACAATCCAATTGAGGGAGTAGATTAGATAGGGGAGAAGAGAACGAGAGAGAAGGTACAAACTTGGTGCATAAGACTCCGAGAGATTTCTCCTTCCGGCAGTAAAAAGTTCTTCCGCCATTGCCATTTCCGTTTCCGACGCTGGCGGCGGCGGCGGTTGGATCTGGTTCTCGGCAAATGGACGGATCAGCAGCAGAGGTTTCCATGAAAGTACAGGCAAATAGCCCGAGAGATTGAAAGGAAAGGAGGAGAGAAAGAGAGAGTTGATTAAGCGGTGGAAGGAGGTAGTGGGAATGAGTGGCGGGTTTTAGAAATTTCAAACCTTCGATTTGGATCTAAACCTTTAAACTGGTGCGGATCCGTAGTGTGGGCCTCAGAACTGAAGGGCTTAACTCTTGGGCCTTTTAAGGCCTCGTTCTATCGTAGCGTTTTGGCCCAGCGAATCACTAGTGGAAATGAGTCCCTCCACAGCTTTGTAGTCCCCCAGATTCCGCTCTCCCTCCGTCCTCGTCAACTCTACTCCCTTCCTTCCTCGACCGGAGCCCTCTGCCATTCCCGCCTCCGATCCGCCAGCAACCATGCCGGGCGATCATGATTCCGATCACGATCACCGCCACCATCAACAGAATCGCCCGAATCGCCTCTCTGTTCCGGCCAGACCCACCGTTTCTTTCACTCCTCCGGCCACCGCCGGCGTCACATCTCGAGCCTACCCTTCATCTTCTCCATACGCCTACGCATCCACCCCAACTCCGACCCCGTCGAAGCAACGGCTCTCTTCCGCTTCCTTCTCCTTCAAATCTTCTTCTTCTTCCTCCTCCAAATCGTCAATTTCATTTCTATTCCTTTTCCTCTTCTCCCTCCGCTCCCTTTACTCTCTCCTCCCATTCCTCCGCTCATCTCCTTCCTTCTCCCTCTTCCCTTTCTCCTTCCTCGTCTCCCTCCTCTCTTTCCTCCTCTCCCTCTCTTTCTCTCTCTTCTCCGCCAAAACACCTCTCGCTCGCCTCAGAAACCCCAACAGCAGCTTCAAATCCAATCAAACCCCTGTTTTCTCCCTCTCCACCCTCTCCCCATCCCAGCATAAGCTCCTCTTCGCCAAATCGATTGTCCTCGCCGTTGTCTTTCTTCTCAGGTTCCAGGCTCTCAGGTACTGTGGGACTGCGGCCATGATTCTGGCTGAATTGTGCGGCAACATTGTGGCCCGTGTTCTTTCTCTGGGGAAAAGGCATAAAATTGGTGCGGCAACTCTGGATGGGAATGGTAAAAAGCTTGCTGGGTTTTTGGCTCTCTTTGTTGGCTTGTTCTTGTTGGCTATGAGTTGGGATCGTAGTGAATGCTTCCCTTTTTCGGCTTCCTATGTGGGTAAATTTGGGTGGTCGTTGATTCCTAGAGAGAATTGCATTAGAATTTGGCTGATGCTGCTTCCATTTATGTCTGGGTTTTTGGGGTCTTACGAGCGTGTTTCGATGAATTGGATAGCAATCAGGCAGCTGGGACAAGCTCGAGTTAGATTGGTGTCATTGTTTTATACCACCCTTCTGCTATTCATTCCTGCCCTTGTGAGCTTTGCCATGCTTGAAGCTGGTGATCAGGGTGTTTCATTTGGGAGCTTAGGATGGCCGTTGGCTAACACGGTTGTTTTTGGAGTGCTACTGAGTGAGAGTTACGCTGATGAGAAGCTGGTAACTTCTAAAGATTTCCAGAAGGATTTTTCAGTAACATTTGTTTGCACAATTGTCTTGGAGCTGTTCTACTTTCCCGAGCTTTCACTTTGGGGGCTACTGATATGTGGGTTGCTGCTGTATATCGGGGTTAGAAGGCTGGATCATGTTAATTCGGATTATCTCGAGTTGGGGATGCAATCTTCTGAGTCATATCGTAATTTGGTTACCAATCCGTTACGCCATATTTTGAGTGAGAGGAAGTCTAGGAAGATTGCACTGTTCCTTTTGATCAATGCTGCCTATATGGTTGTTGAATTTGTTGCTGGGTTCATGAGCAATAGTCTTGGACTGATATCAGATGCTTGTCACATGTTGTTCGATTGTGCTGCTTTGGCTATCGGTCTTTATGCCTCTTATATTGCAAGACTACCCGCAAATGAGCAGTATAACTACGGCCGTGGAAGATTTGAGGTTCTATCTGGATATGTGAATGCGGTTTTCCTGGTTCTTGTTGGAGCATTAATAGTTTTAGAGTCTTTCGAGAGGATATTGGACCCTCAGGAGATATCAACCAACAGCTTGTTAGTTGTTTCTGTTGGAGGCCTTGTGGTTAATGTTGTTGGTTTAATCTTCTTTCATGAGGAGCACCATCACGCTCATGGTGGTGGGTCTGGAGGTTGCTCACATTCTCATGGGCATTCACACTCCGATCATCATCACCATTCACATGATCATGGGGTTCATGAAAACCATCAGGAGTCCATATCCATTTCACATAGCTCTCCTGAGACATCATTGACCCATCAACACAGTGGTAGCAGCTGCACCCATGATCATGTTCACCATCATGATAATCATGACAACCATGACAGCTCCCATTGCCATGAGCACAACCATGATCACACTCATCACCACCATGAATCCCATGACCATCATCACCATCCTGAGTCTGCTGTGCAGGAGCCAGAAAAGCACCACGATCATCACCATGTTGACCACAATATGGAGGGGATTTTTCTGCATGTGCTGGCAGATACCATGGGAAGCGTTGGTGTGGTCATATCGACGCTCCTTATCAAGTACAAAGGGTGGCTTGTTGCTGATCCAGCAAGCTCAATTTTCATTTCAGCTTTGATCATATCGTCGGTAATTCCATTGCTGAGAAACTCTGCAGAGATCTTGCTCCAGAGAGTTCCAAGAGCGCAAGAGAAGCGTTTGAAGGGAGCTCTGGACGATGTCAGAAGGATCAAGGGGGTACGTGGCATTCAGACCTTCCACATTTGGAGTTTTACTAACACAGACGTTGTTGGGACGCTTCACCTCCATGTTTCAGAGGACACGGATAGGACTTCCTTGAAGAGACGGGTTTTGCAAAGGTTCAATGATTTTGGGGTCAAGGATCTGACTATCCAGGTTGAGTGCATTAAGTAATTGTTTGAACTTTGAAAACCAGAGGTTAACTTATTCACAAATTTTCAAGGAGTAGTGGTGTTAGAGAGTGGTATAAGATTCAGCATAACTTTATTCCAACAATTCGAGTTATTGGGATTAACTGGTTCATGACATGGTATCAGAGTTGGTTTGACCAAGTGGTCGTGTGTTCAAATCTCCACGACTCCTAATATAAACCGTTGTCTTCAAGCACATGTGGGTTGGCTTTCGTTTGAGGGGGTGTGTTAGAGAGTGACCCAACAACTCGAGTTATTGGCATCAACTGGTTCATGACAAGTGGAACTGAATGTCAGTCGTCTGTGGAGTTGTTTCTCGGCACAATATGAGAGTAGATTCCTCTCTGCTTCGGGTTTCATCCTTCCAAATCAACATTCTCGATCTGGATTATTGCACCTTCTGCCCTCCTCGATAGACAGATGATTGGTGTTCAACTGGGCTTGGATACCTTGTACTTGTATTTGTAGGAACATTTTCAGAAAGACACCAGCTGAGTATACCCTAATAACTGGTTTTGAGATATTTTATTTGTATATAGAATGTAATGGCCACAAACTTCTGTTTTACTTGGTTTACTAAACCAACCACAGTTTGAGCTTGAAGGAGATGAGAATTCCCTTGGCTACATTTTGAATGTTGAGTAGTGTGTTTTCGTTGAAAGAGAAAGATCAGGATCCTAGACTAGTCTTCCATGGATTGGATTAAATTTCAGGCCACTACATTCATATTTAGGTACTTAAATTTGATATGGATGAATAATCTACAAAATTTTCGGTACTCAAACATTCATCCATATCATATCAAATTTCAGGCCACTACATTCATATTTAGGTACATTCATATTTAGGTACTTAAACAGGTGCCAAAGTGTGCTTCCTGTAGTTTGCATACTTTGTTAGTCAAGTGGCGAAAAGGAGAAAAGTTTCACCTCAGTAAAGCAAATTTCGAACTAAAATTGCCTTGCATAATCACTTCTATGTATCATGTATGCAAGTATTTTCGTAACAACTCGGAGTGCAAACTCTATCCAATGTACACGCAGAGGGAAAAACACCCAATATACATATAGGTCCCATAAGGTGAACACCAGAAATTGTCATGCATTTGGCACCTGTTTAACTACCATAGTCGAGTTCACCATGTTCATTTCTGCTCTTGCCTCCACGAACTACAAACTACATACTTGGATACGCTCTTATCACCCGTGGCTGCAAAAATAAGGCTCACATAACTCTAATCTACTCACGACTCACATCCATGGCGTCAAGCACTTCAAAGTGCATTTCCATATCAGGGACCCTATCAGCAAAGTAAAGCTTCTCGCGAACCTGTAACGTCCCTGCAGCAGCACTCCTCCCAGCCTCCATTTCCAGCAGACGGATCAGCTCATCCTTCTCCTCCCGTATCCACGCCCGCCTGTCGTCGCACCATTGCCTCGGAGTTCCATGGAGCACGAACCGGATTCCAGCTCCCCCTTCTCCTTGAGCATTCAAACGCTTGCCTATCCTCTCAATCACGCCATGGTCGGTGACGTAGGCACCTGCCGAGTTCAACCCAACATCCACGTAATGGACCTCGGTGATGCTGCTCAGCAGGTCTTCTCCACTTTCGGGTATGATCCGAACCCGTCGTTGTTCTCGCCCGCCGGATCTCGGTTCGAGGCAGCTCAGCTCGGTTACTAGCTGGTTAACTACGGTGCCTCCCTTGCTGAACCCGAGGATGTACGTCGGCAACGGATCGGGAACGCCGCCATTGGATGATGATGAAGCTGGTAGCCGGAGCTTGATCTCGTGCAAGCAGTTGGATAACAGAGAGGCGGTGGAATTGGAAGCTGGGAACCCTGTAGGGTTGTAAGATTTGGGCTCTCCCCATTGATGGACAGTGGGGATGCAGTCATGGTAGACGGCGAACGGGCCGTTGTAGACAGCAGCCTCGATGACCCAGGCGTTGATTGAATCCCCAAACTTCGAGACCAAGAGATCGGCTAGTTTCTGCGAATCGGAGAGCCTCTGGATTACGGTGCTCCGAGTTACGGATACACGGTCTCCCACGAAAAGTATGGCGTTCGCTGAAGGTACCTGTCCATTTTTAGGTCATGGAGCTCTGAGTTCTCGGGGAAGGGGGCGGCGGGATAAGAAAGCGGAGGGGAATTTTGAACTCACTGCTAGCGTTTGGGAAGGAGTTGAGAGGTAGAGAGAGACGGCGACTCTGTAGAGAGCCGGAATTCCTCCTGGATTCTTCAATGGAACCTTGACAACACCTCTCCATCGCTCCATCATCGATCGGAATCGGATTACGGTACTAGGATCAAAACAGCTCCAGAGAAACTCGGAGATGGTATGTTTCCTGAGATGAATTCCTGGAAATTTAGATTGAGAACTGGAGGCGTAGAGGCTTCTTCTACCGGTGAATACGGATTACGGAGTCACCTCAGCCACGCCAATGGCCGCCGCCCGCCGGTGCCTGGAATGGGATGCGGATTGTGGAGTTAAGCTTATTCTGGATCACAGTCCAGTCGAGAGTCGATAGGGAGAGATACTATGTGGGCTTTAACCCTTATGGGCCTCGTTTACCTCTAGGCCTTAATCCTTGTGGGCCTTTACGGCCTCGTTCTATCCTTCTGTTTTATTTATTTATTTAATAATGGAATCCTTCCCTTTGATGGATTTGAGTATTGTGGTCAACGTGGGATTGCAAAATCAACGAATTCGTTGACTACAGATAAATAAGTACTTGGAACACGAATTATATTATTGTTTTTTTATTTAGAAATTAACTAAAAGTGTATAATGAAATAAGCATATATGAGAGCATATCAATCTCTGATCTCAATCAGTTTATTGCGAAAGATGACACGATTATAGAGAAAAAGTATTAAATACTCAAAAATGACTATAAAGTTGTGCTTAAATTTGATTAAGCTTAAATTCATGGCAATTACTAAGTATTGATACACAAACTATATAAGACTACTGTTTGAACCTAACTGAGTGTAAGAGTGAGGTTCGAGTGAGAGTTTGGGTCAAGAAGAAACGCGAACGTCGAGTTTGATCAAGAAGACAAGAATCAGAGAGTTGAGTGAGAACCGGAGTCCCAACTTTTAGAAAGAGAAGTAATTGTTATAGAGAGAGAATGGTGAAAAAATGCGATCCCCTCACCCACCGGAGTAAATGCCATATTTATAGGCTACATGGTGGTGGGTGAGTGGGTGGACTTCGAGACGGTACAACGACGTGACTACTGATGTGTCAGGGATTTAGGCCATCCCCCAACCTAGGACTTGTCAGAGGGTTGTCTATGATTTGTACCTAAAAGTCTTGACGTGACCTTCCCTCGGGAGACACAATGACGCCCTCTCCGGCTCTTGAGTCTGGTTGCCGCCTTGTCTTCCCACTTGCGCGCATAGCCTTGCTCTTGCCGCGCGTGAGGTCTCGGCGCTGTCGGACGTGTCGCGCCCTCGCCGTGTCTGTTGCGGCACGCGGTTTGACATGCTCTTTTGGCGCGGGGGTGATCCGAGTCACATGCCCAACAATTGCCCCCCACAGGGGGTGTTTCTCGAACGCCTCCTGTTGTGATTTCCGCTCTGCTGACTCGGATCCACGTGTTTTGCGAGGACTTGGCCGGCTAGGTTTCGTGCGCTCTGAAGCGTTGTGATCGCGCTACTATATTGGGGCTCTCCTGTGCGTTGCGGGGTACGGCGCGGTTGCTTTGCGTGCGCGATCTATACGGGGAGCTTTGTGTGCGCGGTTGCTTTGCGTGCGCGATCTTCACGGGGAATCTTGCGGTCGCTTTGTGTGCGCGATTTCCGCGAGGTTTTCTTCGAGCGTTTTTTTGGGGGTGGGGTTTTTCCCTTTTGCGGGTGTGTCATGCCCCCCAGGCGTTGCGCGTCACTAGTGACGTCGACGACTAGTGCCTATGCTCGTCATGATTGTTCGGGATTGGAGTCTGCCACGTGTCGGTGTGCGATTGGTTAGCTCTGGCGGCCTTTTGAATTTCGAAATCCTCTGACGGTTGCGATTTTCGATGACCTTTAACCCCTTCGACTTCCCATCATCACCTATAAATATTCGGCTGCTCCTGAAATTTTCTTCCATCCTTCCTTCTTCTTACTTTGCTCTCTCGCTTTTCCATCTCTCTGTTTCTAGGATTCCTCTTCTTCTTCTACAACCTCAAGTCTGCCGTTTGCCACTGCTACTCAAGGTATTGCCATGGATAGCACCAACATCAATGAGACCGAGGTCGTGCAGGGCGAAGAAGGTAATCCTCTTTCTTTCTCACCTACTTCTACCCGACTTGAGTCGGACCCGGCCGATTCCGGCAACGGGGACGACGGGGACGGCGGTGGTGTTAGCAACGACGACGATGCTAGTGACGACGAGGGTGCTTCGGCGTCGCCGTCGGGCAACGTCGATTCCGGACGGGGTTTTCAGGAGTCTTCCAACGCCGATATGGTTCCGTCGGGTAGTGGGCCGGCGGCCTCTAGTGGGGTCCTGATAATCCGGCGTACTCATGACGGAAGATCTGGCGGGGCGACCTCCGAGGTGCGCGATGGGTCAGAGACGCAGTCGGAGCCCCTTTACCATGTCCGCGTGACAGAAGCAGTGAGCCGGCTAGGGTTCCAAGGCGTGGGCGCGGTTTACACTGTTCTGGATTGGGCCGAGATGTGGGGCGATCAGCCAGCCCCACATGATAATCTTCTCCGCGGGCCCGACCACGCATCAATTTACGGGCGCGAGGATGTGGAGGAGATTGTGCGTGGGTTGGGATTGCCCCCCAGCTGGCAGTACGCCGTACCGTCTGTGCGCAGCATGGTTGGGAACTGCCCCCCAGGCTGGTTCGGCGTTTACACAGAGTATTGGGTGATGGGATTCAAATTTCCCATCGACCCACTGCTGTGCGCCTTATATGAGAAGCTCAATTGCTCAATCGCGCGGCTCTCTCCCTCTGTTATTATGCACGCTAGTTGCCTCCGAGCGGCGTGCAAGCGGCTCAAGATCACGCCCACTTATGGGTTGTTCCGGAAATTTTACAAGATCAAGGAGCCCACCAAGACGAGTGATTGTCTTTCCATCAAGCGGCGTGATAACAGGCCTGATGGCTTTGTGTACGGCTCGCCCAGGCTTATGAAGACCTGGTTCGAGCGCTTCTTTTATGTGAAGCCCACGCCCGGGGAGTGGGCGAGCGCGTATGTTGCGGAGCCAACCACTTGGATGAAGGGTGGCACGCATGCGTACGAGTCGGAGCTGGGCAAGTACCCCGGGCTCGATCAGGAGTATGAGGCGTGCCTGCTTCAGAAGTTTGACCTACACTCGGCTGGGGTCCGCGAGGCCTGCCTGGCCGAATTGTTTGCCGATGGTTAGTTGTGTTCCTTTCGTTTTGTATTCTTTCTTATTAACCGCCCTCTTAACACTTATTGGCGCAGGTGTTGACTTTTCTAGCTTGGCGAGCATGATGTCTGTTGATGAAGTCATCAAGGCTCCTCGCGGTGGGAGGAAGAAGTCGAGGGAAGGTAAGCAGGCTGCCTCGGAGAGGGGCGGGAAGAGGAAGACGGCGGAGCAGCCGTCCATTGCTGAGAAGGCGCCGAAGACGGTGCGCATTATGGAGCCGGCTGTGCAAACAGCACCGGCGACGACGCGCGTGCCTTTGGCGATTGCGGAGCATACTCCGCGCGCAGCCACCACCGCTCGTCCCGACAGAGGTGGTGCCGGTAGCTCGTCTGGAGCTGGAGTCCAGCAACAGCTGCCGCAGATGGCCGGGGGGGCCATCGACTACTTCCGTGACGTGCGGTTGCATACGGGCGCCGCGTGTAACGTTGCGTCGGCGAATGTTGCGCTGCGGGCCGTGGGTCCCCTTTTGGGCATCCCGTCCCGCATGGAAAAGTCTGATCCGCTCATGGACCTTGCTCAGATCCATTTCGCGGTAAGACTTTCTGCGGAGTGTGAACTATCATCATTTTTTTTTATCAGAAATTTTGCTAAGTGTTATCGCGCTGTATTCGCAGGGCTTGCTGGCGACTTTCCGCGCTCAACAGGAACGGGGGCGCGAGCGCGCGAAGTTGAGATCCGAAGAGTCTCGGATTGAGCAGCTGGAGGGGAGACTTGCTGGCGCTGAAGGACGCGCGGAGTTGGCCACCACAAAAGCCAATGACGCGCTAGTGGAGCTCGGCGTCCTGCAGAGCAAGCTGGCGGATCAGATGGACACCGCAAGGGAGCGCGTCCGGGCTGAGTTGCGGGTGGAGTTTGAGGTGGAGCGGAAGCGTCTGCTGGACGAGAAGGAGAAAGAGAAGAAGGAGCTGGTGTCCGACGCCGCAGACAAGTTGAAGCGGGCTCGGGATGAGTTTGAGAAGGAGAAGAGGGATTTGGTGCGCCTTCATGATGTGGCTAAGGCGGAGGCGGTTCGTGAAGCGCAAGCTGTTGCTGTCCGCCAGTTCAAGTCTTCCTTGTCATTTGGGAAGATCATTGCTGATGCGATGACTAAGGCTGTGATTGCCGTGGGCAAGAAGGTGCGCCCGGAGAATCCTGGCTACCAGTGGGATACTCGTGCCATGGTCGCGCATGTGAGGACGTGGCTGAACGAGAAAAGGCCGCTGGAGTCGGATTCGGAGTCGGAGGAAGAGGAGGAAGAGGAAGGGCGTCAGGAAGAAGAGCAGCAGCAGCAGCAGCAGGAAAGGGAGAAGGTCGAGGGCGCCAGTGGTGGCGAGAAGAAGGATGACGGGGCGAGTACTGATGAGGAGGATTCCCAACCTTTGGTGCGCCGTAAGACAGGCCTGATGGGTGCGCAGAAGAATGTTAGTGATGCTCAGGCGGACTAAGTGTAGTCGCGCCTTTCTTTATATTTTGTTTTTTGCTTTTGACTTTATCCTTTCTGTCGTTAGTTATTTTGATGTAGCCGAGCGCGTTGAACACTTATGGTGCTCCCGACTTATTAAATCCAACATCTTTTGACGACGCTCAATTGCTAGTGTGCTTATCTGTTCGCGCGTGTCTGTTTCGTCTTGTTGAATGGCGCGATGGCGCGGTACCGTGAAACTGGATGGGCGTGAATAGTGCTGGACTATTCTAATTTGTCATTCCGTAAGACTGACTTGGCGCGAATAGTGCTGGACTATTGCTAAGTTTTGTTCCGTGGAACCAAGCGCAGATAGTGCTGGACTATTGCTGATTTTTTGTTCTTTCGAACTGGTTGGGCGCGAATAGTGCTGGACTATTGCTAAGTTTTGTTCCGTGGAACCAAGCGCAGATAGTGCTGGACTATTGCTAAGTTTTGTTCTTGTGAACCGTGTCCTTTTTATTTATTGCGCTAATGCGATATTACGAACGTGGTACACGCTAATCTGCATGGTGGTATTTCCTTAAGTTCTGTGCGTTCCACGTCCTTGGGATCTTGTTGCCCCCCAGCTCGCTGAGTTTGAATGTGTTGGCTCCGACCACTTCGCGGATTAGGTAAGGACCTTCCCATGTTGAGGCGAGCTTCCCGTGTCTGGGATCGGGACGGAAGTTTCGCCGCAGTACTTGATCTCCAAGGATTAACTTGTGTGGGACCAGTTTCGCGTTGTGGTACTTGGCCACCTGCTCTTTCATTGCGGCTAGCCTGATGGATGCCAATTCTCGCCTTTCCTGTGACAACTCAAGCTCTAATAGGCGCGCCTCGTCGTTTGCTTCCTCGTTGTAC